TATATCATAATAACCTATAATAACCTAAGGCTGCATATTAAGGCCGATTACGTCACAGCGGCGCTCCGAAGGCTGTCCCAACGTAAAGGTTGCTCGAAGTGCGGCCCCCAAATGCGTCCTTCATTTCCCTGAATTTTAAGGCTGTGGCGGTGTAGACTTCGTGGCCCAACATTTCCCACAATTCATAGTGCGGCAGTCGGCGTGTATAAAGTATAAATAAATAAATAAAAATAAATAAAAGTTATCAACATTTCAAGTAAAAATGTAACGTAAAACACTTACAGTGTTGAAAAAAATATTAGTATCGGGTAATTTCAAAGTGAGTGAAGGGCTGAGTTGAGTTGATGCATTATGTTACATTTTCCTATGTTGGGTTTTTGCGCAACGTATAGTCTCAGAAACTCTCCTGTATGGGGAGAAAACTTAGTTATGGCGACACCTATTCAGTTTAGTTATCTAATAAATGGCATGATAGTTATTATTTACTCATTAATCAAATAATTAATGGGTTTATTATTTATTGAACTCTACTGGATTACTCTTACATATCTGTTTTCCAGTCTAGACAGCGAGGTAGATAAAATGTTAATGTTACTATAACGCAAATGCCTCCCATGTTCCTTTGCGGCACATAGGCGGTTTCTTATCAGCACCTTGCGTAGCCACTCTTCGCTTTAGGATCTTTGGTCTACCTAGTATCGTCAAATATCGCGGTAGCCGCCTCCCTATCTCTACGCAATGTGCCGTGCTGCTTCTAGCGGCGCTGGTGACAGTGCTGAAAGCTGTTGGGGTGAGTTTTTAATATTTTATCCCTTTTAGCAGAAGAATTTAAGCGTGTACTGGTAATATATCAATAATAGTTTTCTTGTTTGGTCAGTGAGTACTTAGAGGTGAATTGGTGAGTCAGCGCTTAGTCGTACGCACAGTTCGGGCCTGGGTGGGGGCTGCCTTGTTACAGCTCCACATAAATCACGCAAGGGCCGAGGAGTACAACAGCATGCTAGCTAACCGTAGTCGCTACTAGCTACTTAGCATTGCCAATGGCCTAGTTATGCTGTCGAAGGTATAAATAAACAGGCGCGTGATGTTTTTCTAAGACGTATTAGAGTCTGGCGAAGAAAAAGCACGTGTGTAAAATGAATGTGGTTTACTTTAGAGACAAAGATGGCATTTAAATAGAATTAAGCACGAGGCTTATATCTAGCTTCTTTGTTGTTCCGTCCTCGTGCAGTTAACGCCGATAATGTTATTATTGCGTTATCGACGTAAAGAATTGAATAAACTGAGTGTTTATATTTAACGTTGTTCTTGACTGGCAAGAAATTAAAATGTTAATAATTATAAGTACTTTTTAAAGAACTGTCCTGGTGTCGGCAGTCACTTTTGGCATTGTCTGTTCTTAACTCTATTGTCCGTTTAGCCTAAATAGCCCGTGTTGCAGGTTGGCGTGTGATACGATCCAGTTCTAAAAAACGTCTCCATTAAAATATGATTTCCAGTTAAAAGATTCTTTATAATCAGTCCCAGCTAAATTAATACATAGAAATTCTACATATTTTGACTGATGGCCGAAACCACATTAAACATTAATGTGAAAGAGAAGTCGAAATGCTATCTCTATGTACAGTGTACAACGTTGAACCATTGCTTAATTACCAGCAAACTTTATGTTCAAGGACTCCAAGCTGCACAGGAGTTAAGTCATCGGGTAATTACAAAAGAACTGAATGCGTTTTAGTTAAAGAAATTCTTCATCATTAACTTAAGTGTTGCTAAAGACAGTGGAGTAGTAGCTGTTTACGACGATTAGCATCGGCGAATGTTAATCTGTCAGGTTCTGTTTGTCCACACAAGGTCAGTAAGACATCCTTAAATGTGATTGTGCGGGTTACTTTGCTTAATGAGCAAAACAGAACTAAAGGAACGAAGTTTTAACGAACTATGTTTTAGTTTATTGTGTGTTTTGAAATCGACTGGTTAGACGTAACTTTCGTAATGGCGTTGCATACCGAAACGTGTTGGATCAGGCCATGTTGGCTGTTCCAGCTGAGGATAGCGGATTGCTGAGAAGTCACATGGTGGTTCCTGTCGGGGCGGTTGTTTTGTTTGCCCAGAGAAAAGACTGTCGTTTAATAAATGTCCAATCATAAGAGATATCTTTCCCACACTATTAAATAACAAATAGTTTGGTCCCAATTGAAATAATAAATAAATAAACAAAAAAATATGGTTAAAACGGCCGATCGCTGCTAGTTGTGTCGTGAGTGGATTTTTTTTTTCTCGTTTCCTGCGAAATAAAAAGCAGAAAAAATCCTAGATACCACAGAAGCCGTCTTCGGTTCCTGGCTCATAGCCTTTAATACACGTATGCAGTCAACCTTGTAGCAATCACATTTGAGCCTTTTAACAACGTCATATTCTAACCTAGTGGGATGTAAGAAGGGAGACATTGCAACATAGTCACAGCAGAATAGATATCATGTGTCCTTGGTTGGCTCAGCTATCTTGTTTTCAGAGCAGGGTATTTAGGTCAACAACATCCTGCTCTGGTGTGTTGTATGTTACTTGGAGTTTCTGGAAAAAATGTTTGGTTTTTTGGGGGGGGAGCGATCATACACATGTTACAATGCTTTGTTTGATTGCCATATTAGCCCCTCTGAAAATCTTTACAGTGGTGTGCATGCAGAACGGGGGGGGGGGGGGGCTGAATGATGAAACAGAGGGCCTTGGTCTGAAATGTTGCCATAAATAACATAGCCTGAACTGAAGGTATGCACAAGGACTTGTTGATCCAAAGTACTTGTCAGCTGCATAGCATTGTATCTAGAGGCATTTGAGGAAAGCTTATTTTTGTACTTGAGTGCGGCTAAAGAATCAAATGTTCCCAAAAAACCTCAGGCTGCTGGTGCTTGGGGTTTTTACTTGTTTTCATGTGACAGAATAGTCATATTAGCTGACAGTGTAATTAAATTTTTCTCTCTCACTACAGACTCATGGAGCCCTTGGGCCATTTTGTATTTAACCTAAATTTAGATCAGTGGAGTTGGTGGTAAGTTTTCATCTAACCAGATCTTTTTTTCTTCATCCCCCTTCAAACAGTATGAAGTGAAACCGAACTGAATTTTTGTACCATCCGCAACTGCTTCAAGTTCAGATCAAATCAAAGAAACTGAAGACAAACCTCCCAAAACAAAGTCAACACTGAAGAAGCGTGGGTGAAAAAGGATCACTTCAAGGATTTAAACGCAAAAAGTAACCAAATCCTGAAACGACCAAAGAATACGCACATCATCCCAACCGCGAAGTGGAAGAGAAGCAAACTTGCGCCCAAGCATATTCTGAGAAGACCAGAGTTGATCTGAAACCAGAAGTCTGTGCCTACTCAACAGCTTTGACAAAGCACACGTCCCAACGCTGCTCCTAGCCCTCCTCATCCTCACTACACCGCCGACTCACCACCGGGGTGTGGAGTGGGCTGCTATCTGCTAGTTGTTGTTGTTGGTTTTTTTGTTTTGTTTTTTCCTTTTCCCCACTTCCATAGCTCCCTTCCCCAACTTACCCCCTTTTTTTTTCTCCTTTTTCCTGAGCAGTGTTTTTTGCACCTGCCTTTGCCTTTTTGTTTTATTTTTGCTCTAAATTTCCACCCCCCTTTTTTATTTTTTACTTTTATGCAACATCTAGAACTTGTGCCAGAAACTGTAACAAGTGTGCGTGTTCAACTGTGTGCGTGAAGAGGTCCACAAAAACTGCTAGTTCATCAAAATCCTGAGAGATACAAGACACAAGGCGACCAATAAAGGTAGGTCTCGAGTCAGTTGAAGCCCGTTATAGCGTGTTTTTGATGGCTGTAAATGTACTTCTGGTTATGTCACACGTTTTGCTCATCATTACCTCTCTGTATTATTAGGTTTATTAGTGGCAAACTAATTTTTTTTCTTTTTGTACCTCATTTAAATTTCTATATGTAGGACAATATTTTAAGCTGTTTGCAGCAGCCAATTCCAAGCTACCGCAGTGCTTGGTTAGACTTGAATCTTGCGTACTTATTGCTTTCTCCATGTGACATCACATCCTTTTGGTGGAGTGAGTGCAGGAAGTGATACTTGGTGTAAAATTTTGATTTGATCTTAGTGACCTCTACATTGTCCTTTTGTTAAAGATAACTATTCTGAAAATGTGAAAGAAGCCAGCACCACTGAGCCACCACCACCTCCAAATACTTGAAGTAGTCATTCAGTTTTGTTGGAAAATGATTTACTTGCCTTCCCTTACCTGATCCACACTCTTCCTATTTTGTCGTTCTCAGGCCATA